CTCATGAGACGACTGGCTGGGTCATCACAAAACTCCACCTCATTCGGAGTGCAACCTTATCTATGAGTCATCGTGTCAGAATTTAGCTACAGACTTATAGGTAGGTCAGTACCCTTTCCCATTTGAGGTCAAATACTCTTAGAGGCTTTGTAGACAGAAGTTCATTTTGTACACTATGTCAAAGGCCTTGACGGCCCATTATATTCATATTTTAAGAAAGATGGATTATTGATACAGTGTTTTCCCACTTATAGTTATACATTACGAGTTGTGGCCATATTGGCCCAGTTACCAATGGTAGTACGATAAGAAAGATATGTTATGTTGGTACTCAATTGAGTTAGGCACCGGGTGCCCGTCGTGACCTTTCGATTTGGGTCGTGACACAGGTGATACACTAAGTATGTTCCTGACAAGTTTGTTCCCGGGGATGATTTTTCCTAGAAAGTGAAGCTCATTGATGATAGATGTGAAGCGAGTGTGCATATCCTGAATGGACTCATCATCATTCGTCTTGAAGAGCTCATACCTTGTGGTTATCATGTCAATCTTCGGCTGCTTTATTTGTGTTGTTTCTTCATGAGCTGTTTGGAGAGCTTTCCAGATCTCCTTAGCAGATTGACATGCTGAAATCCTGTTGTATTCATCTAGTCTGATACTACACACTTGGATTTTTTTTACTCGAAAGTTCTTCTCTATAACCTTGTGGTCAGCATCGTTGTATTCCTTCCTTATTTTGGGAACTATCACTGCTGGGTCACCAATGGTCTTTGTAGGAACGAAGGGCCCATCACAGATAAATCCTAGAGCTCAGAATCTTCAGCCATGATAAAATCATGCATCCTTGTCTTCCACCATCCTTAGTATTGTCCGTTGAATCTTGATGGTCTGTTTGACCTTCTTCAAAGTTTGGTGGAGCATTCACGAGGATCCTTTCTAGGTGGTAGCTTGATAGAAAGAACCGACTCTGATACCAATTGATATAAACTAAGGGTCCACTAAACTATATAGAGAACCAGGTTCACTATTAGTTTCCATAGCACACACACAAACACTGCAGTAAGTAAATGACACGATGGAGTTTTACGTGGAAAACTCCCAGCTCATGGGATTAAAAACCACGACTTACCCTTGTAGGATTTTAACTTCATTACTGAGAAAATTTCATATTACAACCTATAGTAACCTAGGAATTAACCTCTTAATCCCTCACTAACTTATAACAACTCTATTACAAGCCCCTTTGTAATAACTCTATTACAAAACTTACAACTTGACTAACTCTAGCCAAGACTCAAACCCAATGGTTTATGATTTTACAAAGGTTTCTTACACAATGCTTCTAAGTAAGCTAAGTAGTAATTACAAGTAAAGTACTTTAACAAAAGTGCAACACAATTAAGGACATATAATGACCCAATACAGGGAATTGGTCCTTTGTTATGTTGTGCTTTGTTCTTGATACTCTTGAGAATCACTTGCCGGATTGATTTATCACTTGAGAGAATGCTTGATTTATTCTTGAATGTGTGTTGTGATATTTTTACCTTTTCTTCAATGTTAATATTACGTAGGTGATATCACTTGAATGATGTAAGCATATTTGGTACAAGGGCATTCCACTTAAAGTTGACTGTTGCACTGTTTACACTGTTGCGTGTGCAGGCAGCAACTTTATAGCTATTGGGGGTTGACTGGTACAGTCACCAAGGGAACTGGTGTCCATCTGTTCCCTCTATTGTTTCTCTGATTCTGAAGAGTTGAACCACGTCCCAACTTGAGACTTGTCATTCTTAAATACTTGAGGTTGTGTAACAAGTTCCTCATCTAGTTCTTATCATTAAGTTTGTTAGATCATCAAAGTATAACAGGGATGCATTTGTGATGTACTCATTTCCGATATGAATAATACTTGAGTTGCACCTATTTTTCCAAAAAAAATTGAATTACGCATAGTTTAAGACATTGTGGCCCTTTTTTGATCTCTCTATATAAATATATTTAGGGGTTATGGTCAAGGGCGTACGCAGAAATTTTTGTAAGCGGTGTCAAAATTTATAGAAGAACATGAATAATTACTTTAATTATCATACTTTTGGACAAGAAATAACCTTAGTCTGTTGGTTTTGTTGAGTCTTGAAAGGTCCCGAGTTTAATTTTACTTAATCACAATTTTTAACCACAAAGACACTCTCAAATATTTGCAAAAAGAATGTGCCACTTGAGGTTTGAATCTTTGACCCCTTAGAGCAAAATCAAACACATAAGCAGCGCACAAAGACACAATTTATATCAAGTGATGTTATTTTTTCCTACTTATCTGTTTCCTCACAATATTAATATAATATTTAGTAAAAAAATTCGATAAAGCGGTGTCGCGTGACACCGCTTTACCAAAAGTGCATCCGCCACCTACTACATGGTTGTAGTGGGTTAGTATTGTATACATCTTTTGATTATCTAAAATACCCTTACTATTTCTTACTACCTCATTAAATGTAAGGGCTCTTTTGTCTTTCCACCAAAAATTCTCTCATTTTTCCTACAACTCTCATTCGATACATATCAAAGCCCTTTGCAGATTCTCATCAATTTTCATTGCCACTAAAGAACATTGTATGAAATAGAGATGGACATTAAGCAATCTAAAACTTTTCTTCCTAATACAGCTGCCACCATAATTTTATCCTCTATCATTTCACAACATATTCCCCAAATCCATCTCTATTTTAATTTCTAAACAAATAATAACAAATACCCAAATACCAAAGATTACAACTTTCACTTCTAGTACGAGATAAACAAAAAAAATGATTGAAAGAAGAAATCTTTTTTATTCACAGCTTGAAATTAGTACACTTGAAATGGAAATAAACAAATCCAAACACTATCTTTGATTTTAAAAAAGTTTATTTTCTTCTTGAATACTCAAAGTTTTATAGATCCTCAAAAATCTTAGAATTCAAATTATCGGTAAGGCAATAACTATAAGAAAATAACCGGAAAGAATGTACACTTAGATATAGTAATTAAAATATGGGTTTAAAATTTATGTTTAGCGAATTTCAAAATAGAGTTTGTATCAAAGGGAATGAAGAATCAAAAGATACATATAATGTTAACCTACTATAACTATGTAGTAAGTTAAAAGGTAGATATATTTTTATTTAGGCAAAATACATAGTTTACCCATCGACCTTGTACTCAAATCCCTCTTACACACCTGTTAAACACGGGAATAATATTACACACCAAAACTTTTAAAAGTGTGTCAATTACGCACCTCTTTTGCCATGTGTCACACGTGTGTATTACACATAAAAAAGGCGCGTGAAAACTACACAATTCATCTGAAATTAATTTTTTCCCCTTTTAACTATTTTCTTTCCAAATTAAAGAAAAGAATAACCCATGTCTTCTTCCCCAACCCACACCCCAGCGTTCTCCCCCCCTTCATCTTCTTCCCCAACCTCCATCCTAGTTTAGTCTACTCCCCTCATGTTTCGTCTTTCCAACCAACCCCCATGAATAAGAAGAAAAAGAAAAAGAAGAATAAAAGAGGAGCTATTGGGTCTTGTAAAAATCATCATTATTGACCTTTTGAAAAGGCTTGATAATTTAATTGGGTCTTGCTGATTTTGATGTTCCATGACCTAGAAAATTAGTTTAAATTCGTAATTACTGTCAAAATAAAAATTTACTTAGGCGATTAATTTTGATAAAATTCAAAAAACTCCATTAACAAGTTTGAAGCTTTGGGTTTGAGCTTGAATTTGAAATTTGTATATGGTGGTGGTGGAGAAGATGATGGGGTTGGGGAGATGAGGAGGGGGTGGTTTTTTTTTCTTTTCTGTATTTTTTCTTTGGGAAGATGAGGAGAGGGGTGGAGTGGGGGGGGGGGCAAAGGTTTTTTTTTTCTTTTTACGATTTATGACACGTGTCAGATGTTGATTGGCGCGTGTACTAGCAATCTTTAAGCAGATGTGGTGAAACATCGAAGTGGTGTGTAATTGACACACCTTTAAAAGTTTTGGTGTGTAATATGATTTCCGTCTTTAACATGTGTGTAAGCGGGATTTGGGGACAAGATAGATGGGTAAAATATGTATTTTGCCTTTTATTTATTTAATATTTGAGGGACCAAAGGAGCAATATAATTGTTTTCATTTATTAGTATGTAGACATTATTTGATTTATCTTATTCCCTTCCAGATTTGGAGCAATGGGATATACAAGAGCATCAAGCAAAATTTTTGACTAAGGGGGTTCATAATAACCCGAAAAATCGAATCAAATCAAAATCGAGCTAAACTGAAAAAATTCGATACTTTTTTGGTGTGGTATGATTTTGGTTTTATATTTTAAAAACCAATCAAATTTAATTTGGTTTTGGTTTTAATAAAAAATAATCGACAAAAAATCGAGTTAAGCAGACTATAGAATTACCTATTTAAATTTTTTTATTACACCTATATATATGTATATTTTTATAAAAAGTTTCTAATATTTTACGGTACATGTTAATTGTTTGCATTTTTAATTTAGTTCTTTGCTATTATTATAATAACCTAGCACTCTTTGCCTTTACATTCTAGTTTGATGAGTAGTTTTCTTTTGCCAAGTACAAGAATATATTTCATATTAAAATAATTAATTTTTAATTAAGTCTTTAAATTTTTCATCACTATTTAATTCAATTGTCATCAATATATCTTGAGAAATGATATGTTTCTCGGAAGTAATTAGTTTGATAGTGTTACGTTGGAAATATAATCGCAGGAATATATATTTGGTAATATATGCCTCATATCTAAAAACAAAATTGATAAATAACTGAAAAATTAGAAAATTGACATAAATCAAATTAATAAAAATCCGAATTAGGTGGTTTGGTTTGATTTGGTTTAATTTCAATATTTGTTTTTTTTAAAGGTAAAAATCCATCCAAATCGAACAAGGAATATCTATTGCGACGACTGTTTTTCCAGTTAACCTATTTATTTCCTCGTACTCCAATTTATCCTCTTTTCCTCAATCAAAATCACAATAATTCCCGAATCCCTAAATTTTGGCGATTGGAAAACCCTAATTCGCCGGTGTTGCAATGTCAAACAACGTGCCTTCGTCGTCGTCGTCATCTACTTCATCGTCGTCGTCGTCGCAATACACTTACTCTAACGGCACATACTTCCCGACGCCGTTTCATCTCCAACAACAACAACAGCAACAACCCTACATAGGCGCTGCTCCTCCGCCGCCCGTGCAGCAACTTTCTGCTCCTTACGTTTATCCTGCGCCGGCTCCTATTCCCGGTGTTTACACTTTGCCTCAATTTCAACAAGTAAGCAATTTTATAGCTTGTTTGGATGGTTGTTAGCTATTATATTGTATTGTGTTGTTAGTTTAAATACCATGTTGTTTTGATTGTTACTTTAATTTTAATGTATCATATTGTTAAATCCACAACGAAAAGTATTTGGTGTTATCGCATCGCGACCTTTTTTCCCCCTCATTTTTATTATCTAAAAATTCTGTTTTATCATTTACCCTACCCTTTTATGGTAGCTCTATCGCGTACCCTACTTTTCTTGCCAGCTTATCCTTCAAATTGCAATTGCTGATGTGTGAGATTATGTAATGATGGGAAGCGATACAATCTATCCAAATGTTTTATTAATCAAAGTAATGAAATACGATACAATATGATACATTATGAAATAATATGTAACAACCATCCAAACAAAGTGTTAAATATCAGCAAAGATATGGAAATTATAAACTTTTATATCTGAATTTTGGTTTGTGTGTATTCTAAGTTCTAACAATGGGAGAAATTGCAGTTGATTTTCAATCCTTACATTTTGATTGTGTTAGAGTCAGGCTAACATAGAAAGTTTACTTATATGTCCCATCTTGAAAAGTTTCTTATATGTATTTATGCGAGTGATTTTTTCCCTTGCATACTGTTCTGGTTGATTTTGATAAAAGTTTTGAGAATTTTGCGGGTAGTTTTGTAAATTTTCCTGTGAAATTCGTGTCCATGCCAGCTTGCTTGTTGAGATTATATCTGTATGTGTGTGTATATTTGCATGATAAGAAAGCTTGTTAGGCTAAACAAAAAGGTTTCCTTTAGGAGGAGAACAACAGACTATCTTTATCGAAGTATTTGCACCAGGCCTTTGTACAAATTATTAACTTTATTTCTGAAATTCGCTCTAGTATTTTATAACGACGGGAAAACTGCAATTGATTTTCAATCCGTACATGTTGATTGAGTTAGCTCCCGTTTGGCCATAGATCTTGAAGTTTATATTTGAAAATTTGAGTTTTGAAGTTTATTCCCAGTTTGGCCTCAGTTTCAACAAGTAAGCAATTTTAAGTATCAGCAAATATTGATGGTAAAAAAAGTTGAAAGAAAAAGATATATGGAATTGATAAGCTTTTATATCTGAATTTTGTTTTGTGTGTATTCTAACAACGGGAAAAGTTGCAATTGATTGTCAATCCTCACATATTGATTGCATTAGCTCCCGTTTGGCCATAGATTTTGAAGTTGAAACTTGAAACCTAAAAATTTGAGTTTTTGAAGTTGTGTTTGGGCATGCATTTTACTTGAAATTTTTTTGAGTTTTGTGACTGGAAGTGAAATTTCTCCCAGAAACAATTTTTGGAATTTGAAAATATTTAAGATAAATTTTCAAAATCTGATCCAAAATCTAAGGCCAAACGCTTCCTTAGAGTTACGCTAACTTCCATAGCAAGCTTACTTATATGTAAAGTTAGCTTTTTCCCATCTAAAAGAGTTGCTTGTATGCAAGTAATTTTTTTCGTTGCTTGCTTTTCTGGTTGATTTTGATAAATTTTTGAGAATTGGCTGGTAGTTTTGTAAATTTCCTGTGAAATTGTTGAGATACTAATTTTTTTTGTTAGGCCAGGTTGCTTGTTGAGATCATATCGGCTTCTATATGTGTGTGTATATGCAGGCGACAAAATTAAAAGAGCAAGCAATTTTAAATATCAGCAAATATTGATGGCAAAAAAGGAAAAAGGATGATATGTAAATTATAAATTTTATATATGAATTTTGCTTCGTGTATTCTAACAACAATGGCGAAATTGCAATTTTTTTTTTTGAGAAGGTAACATATTTGTTTATTGATATATAGTCTTCACTAAATTTGCGAAGACACCCATAATTACATAGAAGAGCCCAAAACAAGAAAGTAAAGCACTTATGATCCTTGGTCTTCTCACAAGGAATCTAGAACATCAAAAATTGATTCATGATCCTCTAAAGACTTTTCTTTACACCAAAAATAGAAAAGAGCCAGACACTTCATCTTTGTCTTCTGGATGTTACTTGACTTGTCTTCAAAACATCTCTGATTTCTCTCTTCCCAGATTGTCCACCAAATGCAGGCTGGGACAATGCTCCATCTCTCTTTATAGCTAGAAAGATTGCCCTCTTTATTCCAGCATGCTAGAACATCAAGAATTCTTCCTGGCATTGCCCATACAATTCCCCTTAAGCTAATAAAAATTCTCCATATTTGTACAGTGAATTTGCAATGCAAAAAGAGATGACTAATTGTCTCTGCCTCTTCTCCACACAAGTAACATCTAGAACACGAGTGAAATCCTCTTTTTACTTAGATTATCTTGAGTTAGAACCGCTTCCTTTGCTAGTAGCCATGAAAAGCAAGCAACCTTATAGGGGATTTTCACTTTCCATATCATCTTCCATGGCCAACAACCAACCTGGTTGTTTGACAGGTTGAATTCCTTATATGCACACTTAACAAAAAATTTCCCCTGCCTGTTCCCTTGCCATATGATGAGATCTCGATTAGAGTTGGTTCTAGTGAATAGTTCCAGGGTCTTGTAAAACTCAATTACTCTGTCAATTTTCCAATCATTTAGAAGTCTTCTGAATGTAATGTTCCAACGTTGATTAGTCAATACCTCATCTAAAGTTGCTTGTTGTTGTTGATTCAAGGTATATATGTCAGGAAAAGAGTAGCTTCAAAGGGCCTTGGCCTAGCCAGTTGTCATCCTACAAGGAAATCTTCCTACCATTCCCAACTTTGAACTTTGTCTTGTCAATCACTTTTGGCCACAAGTTCCTAATTGACTTCCATACACTGATACCATATGGACTTCTCACTGGTTTGGTTGTCCATTTTCCTTCCATTCCATATTTCTCCCTAACTACCTCTCTCCACAGCGTTTGCTCCTCTGTCGCAAATCTCCATAGCCACTTCATCATCAGACTCTGGTTCTGAATTCTCAGATCTTTGATTCCTAATCCCTCTGTCTTCTTGCTAGTAGTAAGAGTTCCATTTGACCAGGTGGAACTTCTTGTCACTGTTGCCTTCCCATAGGAAATTTCTTCTTAATGCATCTATTCTCTTTACTACATTAATTGGCATTGGAAATAGAGACATCATATAGGTTGGCATTGCATCAAGAACAAAGTTAATCAAGATTAGCCTTCCTCCTATAGATAGATATTGATTCTTCTAGTTTGCTAGCTTATTTTCACACTTATCCAGCACACCATTCCAAATTCCTTTTGACTTACTCTTGGCTCCCAGTGGCATCCCCAAATAAACAGTAGGTAATTCACCTCCTTTTCACCAAGAATATCAACAAGTCTTTGAATCTCCAATACCTTATTAACTGGATAAATGAAGCTTTTATGCTAGTTAACGTGTAGTCCAGAGGTGACTTCAAAGAGAATGAAGATCACCCTTAGCATTTTCAGTTGTTCTCTATCAGCTTCGCAAAATACCAGAGTGTCATCAGCATACTGCAAGTGGGAGATCATCATGTTGCTATCAACCCTAGAGTTCACTTTGAAGCCCCTGATCCATTGTTTGTTTGAGCTCTTTCCAGCATATCATTCAGTCCTTCCATAGCAATGATGAATAGGAAAGGAGAGAGGGGATCCCCTTGTCTCAAACCCCTCTGAGAAGGGAAGAAACCAACTGATGCTCCAGTGATGAGTACTGAAAATCTCACAGTAGATATGCAGAATTTTATCCAGTTTATCCATCTTCCTCCAAAGCCCATTTTTCTTAGTTTCCAGAAGAAAGTTCCAGTTAAGATGATCATAGGCTTTCTCTATGTCCAGCTTGCAAAGTAACCCATGTTCCTTGCTTGTTTTCCTAGAATCAATGCATTCATTGGCGATTAGGACTGCATCTATGATCTGTCTTCCTCTAATGAATGCCATCTATTGAGTATCTATCAATTTGTTGATCACTTTCTTGAGCCTCTCAATCAATAATTTGGAAATGATCTTGTATATCTCTCAATTCTTTTGCCCCCATCTTCTTAGGAATCAAAGCCACAAAAGTAGCATTGAGGCTCCTTTCAAACATTCCTTGTTCATGAAAGTTCTGTACAACAACTACCACTTTCTTTTTAACCACATCCCAGCAGTTGATGAAAAAGGCCATTGAGAATCCATCTGGGCCAGGTACTTTGTCTCCAGCACATGCCTTCACACTATCCCATATCTCCTGTTTTTCAAATGGACTCTGTAACATTAAATTATCTTCTGGTGTAATCATCTGGTTGTTTCTAATGGTACCTAGTGGCCTCCATTCTTCTTCTTCTTCTTTGTAAAGCTTTTGGTAGAAACTGATCACCTCCCTTTTGATATCTTCAGGATTCTGAATAGATTCCCCTTGCCCAATCAATTGGTCAATGTTGTTATATCTCATGTGAGCATTAGCTGTTCTATGGAAGAATTTTGTGTTCATGTCTCCATCTCTTAACCAGAGGGCCCTGGATCTCTGCCTCCATGTTACTTCTTCATGGCTTGCAATCTCCTCAAACTCCATGGTCAATGAAGTTTTTGTGAATATTTCCTCCTCTGTCAAGCTTCTTTGGTCATGTGTCTCTTCCAGCTCTGCAAGTTGACTGAGAATATTTGCTTTCTGCAATGCTAAGTTGCCTTGTAGAGTTTTGCTCCATTCTTTAAGCTTTGCCTTCAGTGCTTTAAGTTTAAACACTAGAATGAAATCAAGCTTTCTTTCGCATGGTAAAGAGTTCCACCATTCTTGCACTCTTCCTTTGAGTCCTTCTGTCTGCAACCACCAATTCTCAAACTTAAAATATGATTTCACTGGATCCCAACTGCCACGTTGAAGCATCAGTGGGGGGAATGGTCTGAAGTCACTCTATGAAGCACATATTGTTTTATGTTTCTAAAGTCTTCATTCCATTCAGTAGAGATCAAGAATCTATCCAGTCTGGCTGCTATTACATGCCTGTCACCTTTTCTCCACGTGTACTCACTCCCTGATAATTGGATGTCTTTCAGCTCTGTGTCTTCAATGAAATTTGAAAACTCAGTCATAGCTCTTGTGAATCTGGAACAGTTCTTCTTCTCTGATGGGAACCTTACCGTGTTGAAGTCCCCACATACCACCCATGGTCCATCAAAAAGATCTCTTGTACTTGCCTGTTCCCACCACACTTCCTCCCTCTTTCTTCTGTCATTAGGAGCATACACTGCTGAAAGGTGCCATGAGTAGTCCTGAGTCTTGCCTGAAAATTTGCAGGTGATAGTATGTTTTCCCACGCAACATACTTCCCCCTTCCATATTCTCCCATCCTATATTACTACAATACCCCCCTCTAGTCCCGCTAGCCTTTAATTGTGCAAATTTCACCCATCTATTACCCCATAATTTTTTTACTTTCTTCCTTATATCCCCTTCTAATTTTGATTCTTGGAAGCAAATAATCTCTGTCTTCCGCCTGAGAATCAGGCTATTAATCACTCTCCTCTTTCTAATTCTATTAAGTCCCCTGACATTCCAAGATATGATGTTCGCTAACATTGGCTATGATTGGTAATGTAGCCCCCCTCTTCTAGTTCCATTGCTTTTGAAACTGCTCCCAATCTCTAAACTTTTCAATTTTTTGATTCCTTTCTTCTTTGGAGTCTGAACCATCTGTGTAACTTCTTTCCCTTTATTTGCTTGCCTTCTGCTATCAATTTTCATGAAAAGTTCCAGTGCTTCTTTCTCGCACCCATTAAAATCCACCCCAAATTCTTCGCTTAATCTTATAATGTTCTGGTGACCCAGATGGATGCCTCAAATTCCAGGTCCTCTTCTGCCTCTAAGCTTTGATGATTCAGCGGCTCATCTTCCTCAATTGCCCAATCCACAAACATCTATGATTCCTTTGATTGCATGTGCATGTTGTTGTAGTCTTCCGTGTCTACTCCCTTCTTTTCATGTTCCGCAATAACCGACATGACATTATCCCCCACAGTATCTTCTTGTAGACTTTCTTTATCTCCATCGTCCTCTCTCTTTTCTTCATATGCTTTTGGTTTGTCGAGATTTCTGGGTTCAATTGTGTGCGTTATTATTTGGTTTCCCACTGACTGTTTGAGATGTATCGCTTTTATTTCTTCATTAAGGGGATCTGGCCTGGGCTTTACATTGGGCATTTTGAACCCTTTTCCTCATATATTAATTGGGTAGCTTTGTTATTAACCGCTAACGAGTCACGTGACACGTCACATGGCTTTTTAGAGATTAGTTGTACCTGATTTGAACACCCCACGTGCCCCATCACACTTTTATAACCTTGGGCCCCTCCCCCCGCCATCTGCATGCCCTCTTTTAACCGTTGGTTCAAACGATCTTCTTCTCCGTTCTTCTCAGTGTATGATCTCACCGGAGCTTCGCACCAGATTTGGATTTCGAAGACTACCCCTTCAAATTTTATCTTCACTGCTTTTGGGACTGCAGAGCCATCTCCTTAACTTTTATTCTTGCCCATTTCAAGTGGTTTTTCAGTTCGTCTGCTCCTTCGTTTGGATCCGGCCACCACAAAACTCCCCCACTTCTTTGAACACTTTTTGGAACCATAAATGTAATGGAAGCCATACTAGCCTAATCCAGTCACTTTTTGACCCCACTATTGGATTCCACCATTGTAGCTTAACTTTGTGTTTCTTCCAATACCAGTCATTTTCCAATACATTGTCAGCTATTAGTTTCTAGTGGAATTCGAAGAGAAATCGATTCTGGTCTATCTCATAGATACTGGTTCCATGTGCTTGTTTCCGGGAGTTAGATGCCCATCTACGAACTTCCGACAAAGTTGCAATTTCAGAGCTTTCTTCTGGGATGAACCCCACCAAACATCTGCCGAGTAATTCATTGTGTTTGATTCACCAGAGATGCATATAGTGTCCTCTTCTTGTTGGACCACTGCTTCATTCATTTCTCTACTTGCCCACTTATGGTTTCTGACAGTGTTTGAGTAAAGAAGACCTTCCTCAATGATTTTGGGAGCATTAATGACATTTCTCTGTACCCCGCTATTAATGAACCTTTCAATTTTTGTTGCAATATCTAACCATCCTGCATTAAATGACACCTCTGGAACTATAATAATGGACCCCCCGGATCTAATGATGGTTATATAACGCCCGTGCTTGTTGTAGTTCCTTGCGAAGAATATTTTTGAGAAATGATCCTTGGTTTTCCATCTTTTCACATAGTTTCCTTTCATCTTTGATGCTTCCTTTAAGTTTTCACACGACCACACCATCGTCCTCCTGCTGAATGTTGTCCTTCTAATTAGATTCCTTCCTCGTTCTGTCCACTCGTACCATTCTTCAACATTTGATGAACATCTCTCAATGTCATATGACTTGAATCTCACTGCAAAGTAGATGATGTTGTTCTCCCTTATAGTAGTATTAACAATTTGGTGCATTTTGGTCAATGTTTTTAACTTAATAAAACAAGTAGAATTTTAAACAATGCTCACAGTGGGTGAACACTGGGTTTTAAGAAAGAAATGGAAGATTCTGGTGAGAGAGTGCACCGGAAAGAGCAGCTCTACAGACCTAGGAAGTAGGAAAGAGAGCATCCTTGGGGATTGTGCCTGAGAGCAAAAATGTTTACTTTTCTTAGTCAATATCCCAAACATGGAACATGTTTAGAGTTATCAAATTGCAATTTGATTTTCAATCCTTACATTCTGATTACGTTAGTCATGCTAATGTCCATAAGAAAAAATTTTTATTTGACTAATAGCTTTTATGTAATTATATAAGTAATTTTCTCTGTTATTGCTCGCTTCTGTGGTTGATTTTGCTGTTTGTTTTTTAGAATTTCGCGTGTACATTTGTAAGACTTCTCTGTGAAATTGTTGCTTGCTTGCTTGTTGAGAGTACATCTGCATCTATTTGTGTGTATGTTCATGATAAAATATCATGATGTGCACCCAAGGGTATATTCTAGTGGTCAATGACGTGGGTTGGGTATCCCCGTGAAACTAGTCGAGCTTTCGAACCTCGTTACCACGGTTATGTTAGAGAAAAACATGACACCAATCATAAGCTTGTTAGTTTCCTTTTATGAGGAGACCAGAAGGAAATCTCCATAGAAGTATTTGCACAAGGCTTTTGTGCTATGTAGCTTTGTCATGTTTAGCAAGCGAGCTTGTTCTGAAAAAAGAAGGTATATTTTGTCATGTTTGTAATGTAGGTAATATTGTCGACAGGCTCAGCAGTTATTCCAAAGAGATGCGCAAACAATCACACTTGAAGCACTTGAAACTGTGAAAGCTGCACTTGCGAGCAGCGAAATTGAGCACAAAGCTGAGGCCAAGAAGAAAGCTATACCTCGTAAGGCAGCTGGACTCAGTTGGGAAGATCCTACTCTTGCAGAGTGGCCAGAGAGTAAGCCTAATTTCCTATTTCTTTTTTCCCCCTCTTCTTGACTGGCTTTGCCTCATGGTGTCAAATCTGTTTATCTATTCTTCTGGTGTTTTTGTGGGGATTGCTCTAGTTTTCTCTCCTTATAGTCTTTGATAGTTTTAGGCAGCGACTGAAATGGGTACTAGTATAGTGTTGTCTGTTGAAGGGTTTGGGCACAACGACCAAATACTCGTACAATTTGGAATTTTTGGAAGAATTCAAAGACTTCAGATCTATTAGCCTAGGGTAAAGTGTTTAAGATTATTGCAAAACTCAAAAAGAAAGGAGAAAGTCAATCATAGGCTAACAATTATCATTTTGGTGAATAACTTATTTTATTCTAACATTTATACCAAAATATAGCTAAGGTAATTTTTACGCATTTTTACAAATTTATTTAGTATTTCTTAAAGCTAAATTGCATATAATTGCAATTTTAGGTCAGTGGTCAGCATGAGTACGAGGTAAGTGTGTGACTGTTGAATCTTGGTATAAGTCAATCCATTTATTATTGGCAAGGAATTTATCTAGACATTCCATAATAATTTTATTATTCGTATTTTTTATTACATTTCCCAGGTATACTAGGGAGATCATTTCTGTTAATAAGAACACCTTTTTTTTAAATGGTAATCTTATACTTCATAACAAATGGTAGTATAGGAATGCCTTTGTTAGAGGGAGATAAACACTATGATCATAGCTAATGATTGTCTTGATGCTAGAATGGGGAGTGAAGTGACCTCATTCTATACACTGTGTACTTTTGCGTTATAAAAATAATTTAGGTAAGTAGTGTGGTTGTTGAATTAGTTGCTTGTGCATTCATCTAGGGTGAAATAACTTTAGCTGCTTATTGTTATTAGTTATTTTTGTGTAAACTAGGACTATTTTGGAGAAGTATTACTATTAGGATTTAGGACTATACTTTATAAACAAGAATAGCAGCTCTTCGTTGATGTGCTTGCAAACAATGTGGGCGTATGATTGGAATTCAAATTGTTTGTGCTGTACAGGAATTTGCTATTAGTGTTGTACAATGCACAGTTAAAGTTGGACACTTTAGGAGTTGATGCAAAAACTAGAATCATTTCACTACAATCTCTATTGCGTCCCTTGTGTCACAATCACAATTTTTGGAGGTCTGTTTTGCTCCTATATTTAGGTTCTTAATATGTGGATTTTCCTAAATTGAAGATCAATTTCCAATCCTAAGAAAAAGGAGAACCTGATTACACTTGACGACCCCAATCCTAAGGCTAGGAGCCCGTTTGGATTGGCTTAAAAAAGTGGCTTTTAAGCACAATTGCTTAAAAGCATTTTTTTAGTGCTGGAGCTTGTTTTATAAATAAGTAGTTATGTTTTTGGATAAAAATGTTGAAGCTGAAAAAAAGTTGTTGCAAGTATTTTGTAAACAAGTGTTGTTAAGCACTTTTTCTATTAAAATGACCGAAATATCCTTAAAGTTGTTAATACTATAAAGAAGCTTATTACTATAATATTTTATTCTAAATTGACGCAAATACAAAATAATTTATATTTTAATTCACTTTCAATTTAAACTGATTACCTAAGATAATTTTTATAAATATAATTCTTGAATTCTCATTTCCCACTTTCAACCACCTAAAACTTTTATTTCTTGATTTCAAGCCTGCTGAGGAAATATGAGGGTGTTTGGCTAAGCTTATAAGCTGGTCAAACTGCCTTATAAGTACTTTTTGGCTTATTTACGTGTTTGGTAAAATTAAAAGTGCTTATAAGTTAAGTGCTTATAAGCCAAAAATAAGCCAAAAGCCATAAGTTGGTCTCCCCCAACTTATCAAATTTCAGCTTATAAGCACTTTAGGTTTGACCAAAATATTAACTATTCTATCCCTAAAATAATTCTTTTTAAACAAAACTCTTCGTATACCCAATTCTTCAGCTACTTATTATTAATTTCAGCACTTTTATCCAAACACATAACTGCTTATTTTTTAAATCAACTTCAGCACTTAAAAGTGCTTTTCAGCCCCTAATACTTATCAGCTACTTAAATCAGCTAAGCCAAACGGGCTCTATATTGGATAATATCACATTTGTTTACATAAGAAGGAAAATAAATGAATTAACATTATTTATTGAGATCTTAGGATTGGCGCTCGCACGGAAAAAATGTATATTGTTAATCATTCTTGTGTTTGATAAAAGAACAAGAAAATCCAAAATCGAAACAAATCAAAATTTCAAGAAAAATTTGAAATTATTTGTGAATGTACTACCAAACAAATAAGGGCGAAAATCTTTATTAACATAAGAACGGGATGCATGTGTAGCAGTTTCTCATTTGGTTAATATAAAATAATTATAATAATTTATAAGCAAACAAAGGAAAGGAAGAACAGGAAAAACGAAAGAAATCAAAATGTAAGAATGTGAAGAACACATCAACTTAACGTAGCACTACATGAATTACCATGGTTCAAGAGATAGAAAAGACAGATCTGGAAATGACGAAGAGTAGCGTTTTTTATGTAGTGAATAAGAATATTTTGGGATTTATAAGATGATGTGAGGGGTAATATTGTAAAAGATTTGGTCAAACTTAAAAGAGCTTTTAAGCCAAAAAGCAATAAGTTGGGAATGTCCAACTTGTTACTTTTGGCTTTAAAAGCACCTACTTAAAAGCAATTTTGGTGTTTGCCAAACACCAAAATAAGCCAAAAAGTACTTTTAAGCGGGTTTGACCAGCTTTTATGCCAATCCAAACACCCTCTAGATCTTGAAGTGGGTTTAGATTTTGCTAGTTTAGAAACTGAGAGGGCAATGCTGATTTACGGATGAAGTGATTTGAATGATAAGCAGTTACAATGGCCATGATGCACCAAAAGCTAGCAAAGAAATACAATTTTGTTTAAGGCTATGTATGTTGCAATGTTTGCCGTAAAAATTCTCGTTTCTTTCCATTCAAATTGTCCACGAAATGACGACGGGAATAGTATTCTAAAGCTATTGTGCCTTCCTATTCAGACCATTTCTTCTCCAACTATGTAAGAAATCCAAAATGGAGTGAGGCATGCGCAAGACAGGTCTAAAATGGCAAAAACATGCTCCTAATCTGATAAGTAATCTTACCATGTAGGAAAGATGACGAACATCTTTGAGGTTCTCTTCACAGAGGGGACACCTGACGCATAGGTGCATTCCTCTTCTCTGAAGATTTAATTGAGTGAGGCATGCTCACGAAAAACAAGAAACCTTCAAAGCTGCTTTGCTGTGCCAAATCTTCCTCCAAGGCCAAAGTTCGGTGTTGGAAGAAGTTAATACATGTAGGAAGACTTGACTGAGAACATACCACCAGAATGGTACCTCCATATTATAGAATCATCGTTGTGTTGATTCAGGATGATGGTGCTAAGGGACTGTAACAAAGAACAAGATTTTGCAATTTCCCAATCATTTGAATTCCTTCTTAGAAATAGATCCCATCTTTGAGCATCAGAGAAATCAGCTTTAGAAGCCTTGTCTAGTGAGGAAATATTGTAGATGTCTTGAAAAAGATCCTTTTTGGGGGTTAATGTCCAATCCATGCATCTTCCCATAAGTTGATCTTTCTACTGCCCCCAACAGAGAAACCAGCGTTCAATTCAAACTTACTCCAAAATGATTCCAATCTCCAGAACCATGAGAAGCATTTGAGACCTCAGTGTGCCAGGGACCATCCGAAGTGAACCTATCAACTAAAAATCTCCTCCAAAGAGCATTTACCTCCTTATTGAATCTCCAATGCCATTTCATCAAAAGACTTTCATTTTGGTATTTGAGATTCTTTATGCCAAGACCTCCACATTTTTTTTCCTTTGATGCCATTTTTCCGGTTAACATGAAAAAAGTGCTTTGATTGTGAGTTCCCTTTCCAGAGAAAGTCTCTTCTCAGTTTATCCATACGATTTAGAACCGAAGCAGGGGCCAAAAAAGAGATATAGTGTAAGTGGGGCATGAAGAACATTGTCTTGTAAGCATAAAGTCTATTTGACTATGGTTACCCCCACTCTTATAAGTTATTAGGCTAAAGTGGTCCAAGATAGTGTTCCCTTCATTATTCCTAGTACCACAACCTCAGCCCCCATTTACTGGTTTGAAACTGTATTTTTACTGACACGACCATTTAGATCTCCCCATATAAAGATCTGTTCGTCTCTTGGAATTCCTTGAACCAAGATGTCCATATTCTCTCAAAACTTAGCTTTAGCTTTTGCATATAATCCTTTTTGTGGCATAGGCACTAATAGCATTGACTGTCTCCTTTCCCCATACCAGCCTTAATTGCAATAATTGTATCCCCAACTCGTTTTACCTCTACAACTTTATCTTTAAGCCATGGTTACAATAATTCCCACCTCATTCCTATTTCTCTCTCTCTCTCGCCTGGATAATAGATGCTGGAGTAGAAAATAAATATACTATATGAATATGGGGAGTTTACTTATGAAATGGTACTCAAATGAAGATCAATCATTATGGAAGAAGGTGATGAAAGAAAAATACAGGGAGGATGATGCTTGGAAAGCCAAAGTTGTCAGCACTGTGTATGGGGTTAGTGTTTGGAGGACTATCAGAAATCTTTGGAATATCTTCAGCATTAATACAAGATTGAAAGTTGGGAATGGGCGACGTATTTCTTTTGGGAAGAGAATTGGTTAGGTAGTGGCTCACTCCGGCACCGTTATCCAGATGTTTACATCCTGAATCAACAGCTAAGAGCCAATATCAATGAGATATGGAACAACCAAGGATGGGACCTTAGCTTCAGAAAACTTTTGAACGACTGGGAAATAGACAGATTCAGTGCCTTCCTCAGCACACTTAATCTCTTCAATGGAGTCTTGCCTGAGCAAGATAGATTATGGTGGTTGAGAGACAAATCAGGAGTCTTTTCTGTCAAGACAGCGTTGGAGGAATCACAACAACAATCTTCAGGTACAATGGCCTTGGAGACAAATTTGGAAGACAAACATACCATACAAGGTGGCATGTTTTGTTTGGTTGGTAGTGAAGAATGCTTGTTTAACACGACAGATTACAAAGAAGGAAAATACACCTTTGCTCTAGCTGTCACTTATGTGGACTGTATGCAGAAATAAACAGTCACCTTTTTTTGCATTGTAGGGTGACTACTCAATTGTGGGACATATTTCTTGCTAATAGTGGTTTGAGTTGGGCAATGCCAGTTCATACACTAGGTATGATATCTAGTTGGAACTTGGAACAGAAGTGGAGGGACTGAAGCTCAAAGAAAAAATTGAAGTATGATCCCAGGATGCATATAGTGGACTATCTGGAAGGAAAGGAATTCAAGATGTTTTGATAACAAAAGCAACCCTATCCAGAAGATAAAGCCTAATTTATTCGACTTTTGCATTTTTGGTGTTAAGAAAAGTACATAGATGACACAGAGACACTCATACAATTTCAAGAGTCTCTTTAGTTGCTAGTTTATTATTATTATTTTTGTGCAGCTTTTGCTAGACTCCCTGTAACTATGGCTTTTCACTGGCACTTTTGATTTTAATACAGTTTGTTACAATCTCAAAAAAAAAGTTATGGGGAGTTTGTGTCTTATCTTTCCAAATGCACTTCTTTTTCTGCTATTTCTGGAGGTGTTTAGAAAAAAGAATGTGTAGGAGACGACTTTGCAAAGTAATCTATCAGATTTTACATGTTTGAGTATTATGTTTTTTTTATAAGATGTTTATTATGCTTTATTGGTCCACTTTCATGTATTATGGTGTCACAAGTGATTGTATTCACTGACGACCATTTTTCTCACACAATTATCTTTTGCTGTTGGTTGTCTAGTCAATTTCTTCTGCGATGGCTGTTTGCACCTGTTTCACATATTTGTGCCTTTGCTGTTAGAATTGTTGCAAATCCTTATACAGTAACTAAGTCACTGTTTGGGTGGTGTCACAGATGATTGTCGCCTATTCTGTGGTGATCTTGGGAATGAGGTGAATGATGATGTCCTATCAAAAGCCTTTTCAAGGTTTCCAACCTTTAATATGGCTAAGGTATGTTCTGTTTGATCATTTATACTTTCCAGTAATTTTACATTTTATCTATTTGATTGGTATACATGAGCACTGGTATTTCTGGCCATGAAGGGAGAGATTTTTGTCCCTAGACTTTTAGTTCTTTTCTTCCCTTTTCTTGCATCATATTTTTACATCCCGATGAGTTGTGAATCTTCAGAAAGCTTTTTGTTTTTCCAAATCCTCCTTGGAGGGGGGTTTGGCTAGAGATGTGGATTAATCCCAGAAAAAAATTGGTACATGGGAGTGGGGGACATTAAGCCTGACCTCTCCTTCCTATAAGAGGGATGACAAGTCCGCCCCTTTACAGAAGTGATAGTTAAGTTAGGAAAAGTTAAACACCTAAGCTGCAAATGAGACTATCAATAGTCTGAGAGAAGGGAATTTCGAGTGATCCTTCTTAACGAAAATAAGTTCAGTCATGTTAATCATCCAGAAGTTAAGTTAAAGCTTGGCCAGTTTCTGAATGATGCCTTGTTAAGGTTGTCCATCTTCGTTATAGCTCTTACTTGCCTTGGCACAGAAACTGCTGTAGTGAAGATTGATTTCTGCTTCTGTGTTACTCTCATATTTGCCAATTCATCTGCTGCTTTGTTAGCTTCTCTATAACAGTCATTAATTACAAAGTTGCCCTGTCCAATCAGATTTCTTAATCTTGCAATAGTGTCCTGAAGTTTCCAGGGGATGTTGGTTCCTTCTTTCACCATTGTAACAATAAGCATTGAATCTGATTCCATCTGTACATTGAAGTGAAGGTTCTGAATGCACCACTCTATTCCTGTCAGCATAGCCCTTGCTTCTGCATAGTTGTTGGATTGGTTTCCATAGAATTCATGGAATGCCATGATCATTTCTCCACTTTTGTTTCTGATTGTTCCCCCTCCTCCAGCCAAACCAGGGTTCCCTTTAGCACAACCATCAGTATTCAACTTAAGCTCAAATAGTTCAGGTTTCTTCCATTTGATCTGCTTGATCATGTAGCTCTGGTTTGCTTTCTCTATTTTGATGCATAAGTCCTTCCAATTTCCTACAATAGACAAGTTAGGAAAGTTGGTGTTCAATATGATTATCATCTTTAAGTTACCTGGTTTATAATATGTCTGTATGAGATTTTGATATCCTCATTTATAAGAACATCTTGACTTTCATAGTATAGTTGGGAGGTATCGATAGACCACCTCTGATACTTAATCTTCAGAAAGCTAGAAATCCTTCTAAATGCATAGACATCTAGTGATAGTGGTATACATGCATCTAGTTTTTAGAGAGACTTCTCAGTTTTTACTGCTTTCAAATTGGAGTTCAAGTATAGTTGGGAGGTATCGATAGACCACCTCTGAAGCTTAATCTTCAGAAAGCTAGAAATTTTTCTAAATGCATAGACATCTAGTGATAGTGGTATACATGCATCTAGTTTTTAGAGAGACTTCTCAGTTTTTACTGCTTTCAAATTGGAGTTCAAGTATAGTTGGGAGGTATCGATAGACCACCTCTGAAGCTTAATCTTCAGAAAGCTAGAAATCTTTCTAAATGCATAGACATCTATTGATAGTGGTATACATGCATCTAGTTTTTAGAGAGACTTCTCAGTTTTTACTGCTTTCAAATTGGAGTTCAATAACTTCTAATGATAAAAAATTAAATAGAATATAATAGAAGTATCATCTTTTTTTTTTTTATGAAGTAAGTAGAATATATCATAAAAGGCATCAAGAAGATGCAAAAAGTTACAAAAGAAGTGAGTTTGACAGCTCATAATAGTAGTATCATTGTAGGATAAAAAAATGTATTCCTCAGGTTGTATGTTTGTGTGCGCAGTGATACCTTACCTCTTCCTTGGAACATAGTCTACTCGTAATTTATTTGTTGTCCAAAAGTGCAGTAGTAATAATGTTGTTATAAAGAAGTATAGCTTAGTTATATTTCAAGATCCATCATGCTGATGTTATTACTAATTCAGTCTTTCTGTCTTGACCAGGGAAAAAGAACAGAAAAAAAATTAATTAGTATTTTATATTCGCCTTGCTCTCTTCGTACTTTATTGTATGTTATGGCTTACAAGGTTCAGTAACGAAGGGTTTCTGTAATGCATGTTCACAGGTTGTGAGAGACAAGCGGACTGGTAAGACCAAGGGATTTGGATTTGTGAGTTTTTCCAATCCATTAGACCTTGCTGCGGCACTTAAAGGAATGAATGGTGAGTTATCTGTTAATCAATATATGAATGTGTAGTCTCTTACTGTGCTCAAGGTACAACATAATGAGTATATTAAGTGATAGAACTTGATATAGTGGGTCTGTCGCAGTTATGTGATCAGCTTTTACCTTCTTGAAGATCACCGCTCATAAATGATAGATGGTAGCTTTCAGTGAGATCTAACAGTTTTCTTGATATAATGTTTGGTTAATGCCATGTGTGGATTTCTTGGGCCCACTTTGATGTCTTTACGACAAATAATTCCCTTTGATGGAAAGAGTGCTCTCCACTAGGCCACTGGTTCTTGTGCTAGAATGTGTAATTCCTTTTTTGTCTCTCCATGAAAAAGAAGGGACGGTGAAGGAAACAAGTAACATAACTCTGTACCGGAAACAACTTTTAGGACTGCTTTTGAAGTCAGTTTAGGTAAAGAAAAAATCTGTAAGGAAAAGAACAATATCTACCAAACTCGTATGAGAGAATTTCATAAGTCTGGTGTCTTGTGGAGCTAGCAAAGTGGGAAGTACGTGAATGTCTGAAGTGGCAGTAGTTTTAGTTATTGAATTGGTGTAATATTATTCCCAAATGCCTAATGATGTAGGGGTAAGGTCTGCGTACACTCTACCCTCCCATGATGGGATTATACTGGGTATGTTGTTGTTGTTGCCTAATGAGGTAGTAATCCATGTTGTTTTCAGGGAAGTATGTTGGAAACCGGCCGATTAAACTCAGCAAGAGCAAGTGGCAAGAGAGGACTGACACTGAAGCTCTGGAAAGTCGCAAGGTGAGGAATTTTCCATGGTGATTGGCCTACTTATATGATATTACATCTTATTAGTTGGCATTAACCTACTTCTACTTATCAAAATATGACATTAACTGACTACTTTTTTTGGATGTTGGATCTTGCGGCAGAACCAATCACATAAGAAACCAAAGACAGCAAAGAAGGGTATATTTCACAAGTGAGCACCAATCATGATAATGGCTCAAGCAGCAAGATACTCGAGATGTATTTTAAATGTGTTTTAATCAACTTCTTCACCATCGCTGCTGTTTGCGAAAGCAGGGATGGACGACAATCCCAGGATACAGTTAGATTTCAACCTCTGCTCAGTTGCTGGTTAATGTCCTCTGCAATTTGTTATTCACATTGCTATATCCATCAGTTGCTGGTTGATGTATTTCTTTCTCCTTTTAAGAGCAGTAAGATAGTTGTGGATAATAAATTCTTTTAGTAACCATATGTTTGAAAGATTGCGGCCATTTTGAGACAACTTTCATCCATGTGAAATCTACCTTATTATTTTTTGACACAAATGAATCTATCATATTGTCACACCTGACTAGTGGATTGGTTTGTGTTGAACGTAGTTAAACCTTTTAAGACGACCTTCTCTCATTTATCTTCTGTGTGTATGTGTGTATGTGTGGGGGAAGTGCACGGTTGGCCACTAATAACACATGTATTTACTTTTAAGCCACCATTTAAAATGTCTTTAGTCTTTAGCCACTGCTTTAATAAATTTTAACTGCCCGGACGAAAATACCCTTTTGCTCATGTCCTTAACTTCAGGACTACATGTCCTTAACTTTTGAACTTCAAACTCTAAGTTCAGGACCTCAGGACTACATGTCCTTAACTTTTGAACTTGTAACTCTAAGTTCAGGACTACATGTTCTTAACTTTTGAACTTGGAACTCTAAGTTCAGGACTTCAAGGCTACATGTCTTTAACTTTTGAACTTGGAACTCAAACTTCAAGACCAAGCGTCCTTAACTTTTGAACTTGTAACTCTAAGTTCAGGACTACATGTCCTTAACTTTTGAACTTGGAACTCTAAGTTCAGGACTTCAAGGCTACATGTCCTTAACTTTTGAACTTGGAACTCAAACTTCAAGACCAAGTGTCCTTAACTTTTGAACTTGTAAGTCAAAGTTAAGGACCTATTGTCCTTAACTTTTGAACTTGTAGCTGTAAGTTAAGGACTGGTTGTCCTTAACTTTTGAACGTGTAACTATAAGTTAAGGACTGTCTGTCTTTAACTTTTGAACTTGGAAATCAAAGTTAAGGACCTATTGTCCTTAACTTTAGAACTTGTAACTGTAAGTTAAGGACTGCCTGTCCTTAACTTTAGAACTTGTAATTGTAAGTTAAGGACTGTCTGTCCTTAANTTGTAAGTTAAGGACGGCATGTCCTTAATTTTTGAACTTGTGTCCTTAACTATTGAACTTAACTCTAAGTTAAGGACCAAGTGTCCTTAACTTTTGAACTTGGAATTCGAAATTCAGGACTAAGTGGTCTTAACTTTTGAACTTGTAACTGTAAGTTCATGATCCATAACGTAGCAGAAAACCAAAAATACATCACAGAAATCACAAACCTAAATACATCAACCACCATAGATCCTTTATCATCACTGTAAGCACGTGATTTTTGCCCTATATGAGAATTACTCCCAAAAATAAAAAAAAAATAATAAATAAAATGATTTTTTCTTTGGTGTGCAATTTTGTGATATTTTGAATAATTATTTGTATTTGTTTGTGCGTGTTTATTTGCTAAATTAATAAAATACAAAAATATGTCGCATTTTGCATATAGGATTTAATTCCACAATTGTTAATAATTAGATGTGTTTTACAAAAAATTAAAAATCACGAAAATAGGCATCGTTTGCATTTTTAGCATTTAATGTTCAAATATACAATTTTATGCTTAATNACTTCTGCTGCTTCATCGTCCAAACCCCCGCCATGCTGCTGCTGCTCGTAACCATGGCTGCCTAGTCGTGGTAGTTTGTTTCCGTCCCCTCCATCATGCTTCTGCTGCTCGTAACCATGGCTGTCTAGTCGTGGTAATTGTTTCCGTCCCCTCCATCGTGTTGCTGCTACCGTTGCTAGTTCGCCGGAGCTGGGTCGTCGTTGCTGCTGCCGGCGCTGCTGCTTCACGTTCCATGCTTCGGCTCTTGCTTCGTCTTCTTCGTTATGTCAAAGTTTCGTTGGTTTCATTTAGAGTTCGTTCGATGTTCGTCGTTGGTCATTTACGGTTAGTTGTTCTAAGTTTTATTTTTGTCCATATTTTTGTTTGATATTTTCCGAATCCAAACTCGTTAAATGATTCAATTCTTGTCTTGTTCGATGTTCATCGTTGAAATAATTTTCTAATGTATTCATGTGTTTGATTGAATTAATTTTCAGATTTCAAATGGAAAGTTAATTAATGGTTCTTCATGTTTATTTCATGTTTGTTTTATTGTTTAAGTAAGAATTTGTTAGTTTGATGTTTGTTAGATTCAAATTGAAATTTAATTAATTGTTTCTTCAATTTGTTTCATATGTTTATGTATTGTTAGGAATTGTTAATATTGTTAAGTTCAAGCTTAAGTTCATAATTGTTTATTCGTCGATCTTATTATTCGTCTAAAAAGAATTTAGTTGTGTTAAAGGAAATATATTGATTTAATCGTTTTAATCCGT